CACAGAAAGAACTAAAGTTCTCTCGGAGAAGATTGGTTTGGACTGGTCAAAGCTGTGAATGGTGTTGTTAGTAGAGCTTAATTCTAGTCTAGCTCGGTGCACAACAAATCGGACGCACCTTAAGATCTGGTCCGCATTCACAACATGTTTGATGGCCGCAACCAAACGCCATGTTTTTGGGATTGCTCAGACACCGGTGGAATGTGAGTGCTTGTTACAAGTGCGCACCCAAGTGCTTGTTACAAGTGCGCACCCAAGCACTTGTACCCAAGCACCCAAGCCCACGAGAGGAATATGAAATCTTAAATTCAAAAGAATCCCCTGTTTTTGCTTCCGAAGAAAAAGGTTGGTGAGATTGATCCAAGCCTCAAACACATTGGCCTCCTGGGAGGAGGGTGTCGATTCCTGACACCATGGCCACCATTTAGTTTAGGCTTCTTGGTTTTCCGACCGAAAACTTCCTCCTTAACATTTACCCCACCTTTTGGCTTGATAACTAACTCAACAAAAGAAGAACTTGTGCTTTTCAGAGACCAATAGTTTGAGAAAGATTAAATCACTTCCCGTAAAAAATCTGCATCAGTACAAATCTGGTTTGATCCAGCCGCATTGAGTATACTGGCAAATCTCGCTTTTGGTCCTTGAGCCAAAGAAGAGCAGAATCTTGACAAGGGCAAGCCTTTCTCTCATTCATCGTATCCCAGTTGATTTCCCTCGCTTATCTGTTAACATGCTCGCAATGGAAGTTCATGAAAGCCTTCTCCTTCAGGAGACTGGAACATGCGTCAACAAGCATACATTGTTTGGAATGGAACCCTGGTCTACAAAGAAAAGCATGTGAGGATGTTATCAACAAAAAACGACCAATAAATTATACAAAGATTAAAGGCCCAGATAAACCTCAAAGAGAGAGAGAAAGAACAAGCAGTAGTCTTAAAGAAATCATTCTCAATCATCACCGGTGGATTTAGTATATGACAGTAAGCTAGTAAAAGGAAGCCAGATAAGAACACACTCTCATAAACTTGAGTATTTAACAGAGAAATTTTCAGTTTGGACGGATACCACATGCAGAGATGTTTAAATAACATAGACGGAAATGAAACATGACAAATTGTTCATCATCTAACATACAAAAGCTTCAGATAATTAGGATTTTCAAACAGAGCCCTCCGACTCTGATTTCATTGCTTCTCGTTGATCCAAGTTTTGATTAGCCTCCCTTATATCCTGAAAACACAAGAAGAGATTATGAAAATGAAGTACTAGCAATTAGATGTGACATTCAAATGCTTCTTGATATTGTTTTTTTACCTCAAACACCTTCGCCTCAAATCTCGCTACAGCGTC